AAGTATAAATTCTTTTTATATGATTGGACTGATTGATAGGGTCTTCTCTTCGTATGGCTCTTAGGGTCCCCAAATATTCAGAAACAGCTAGTTTGACCAGCTATCTAGCCAGCTAATGTTAACGACTGCTTGTTGCTGCCATTTGTACAATGTATGAATGCACAGTAGCACAATGTATTAATTTTGTCCTCTCTTGATTTTAAATGTATGGTCCCTCGTCAGGACAAGGGGTCTTGCATTGCTTAGGGAAGTAGAGAGCTACGTTTTAACTCCTTTCAGGGTCTACCTTGGCAGAAAGGTCTTAGCAGAGGTGCCAGACTAAACCTACCACCCATATTGGGTTGCAGCCATACAGAACGTTCTCTGTGGCAGATGATCTCAAAGGTGACAAAGGGCAAGATACCAATTCAACTACATAGCCGAAGGCAATGGTTAACCACTTCTATACCTCTGGACAAGAGGTCCACATGGACAGGCACAGCAGACAGATTGTCTCAGAATTGTCCAGGGTTTGGGACAAGAAAAATACTGATGCCTTTGAAGACTTCTGAGAGATTTTTGGACCTGAAACCTTGGATTCTTGACCAAATCTAGCCTCACCTCTCACTCAAACCTCATAACCAAACACACATTCTGAGAAGAACCAATCCGTTGGAAAAGATAATCATACTTGCAACAGGTGAAGGTAAAGGAGGAAGAGGATTGCCAGCTAAAGAATAGATGGATACAATCGGAGAAGTCATGAACCAGCCATTCAGAAGCCTGAAGACAAAGAGATGAAAGGATATTCTGGAGAAACACTATCCATGTGGTCACCGGGAATTAGAACCAACTTGGTGGCGCTAAATAATGATAGTGATAATTTCACACAGGGTGGAGATTCCATGGGGTCCCAAAAAATGAAGATTATTGTAGAACAGAGATGTGGTCTTACATGAATCTGAATAATTAATTTTCCTTCAAAAAAACAAAGGTTCCTCCATTGGCTTGAACTAGCATATCTAATTTACAAACACAGTATTTTGAAGGTCCATCCATTGGAAGATTCTTTAGGTCAGACAGTGGTTCCTCAATGGCAGTGGTCAACAATGCTCCTCCTGGAGATCTGCATTCCTGTAGAGTATAATTCCAACCTGCATCTAACTTGCTGCCTCGATTCTTACCTAACACTAATGCATCTGATCCAGCCAATGCGGCAGTTGTGAAGAAGTTAATTATCTGGAGAAGGTGTGGCAGATTGTGGTTGGGAGTACACTCTGGAGGAAGGTAGATCTCCAGGACCAGGGTTGGTGGCCACTGCTTTATGGCATCACCCCCAAAGAATCCTTCTGGCAGGTTTATTTTAAAGAGTGTGTGATTATTTTTGAATTTCTATGGGTAACTGTCAGGTTTCATGCAATTAGCAACCTGTGACTACTTCAAACTTTTTCCCGGTAAAGCTAGCGTACACATACTCAAGCACACTGGACAGCATACTCTATATGGACAAAAATATTGGGACACCTACACATCACATCTACAGGAGCTTTTATGAATCCCATTCTAAATCCATGGGCATTCATATGGAGTTGGTCCCCCTTTGCAGCTGTAACAGCTTCCACTCTTCTGGGAAGCTTCCTACAAGATTTTGGAGAGTGTCTGTGGAAATGTTTGCCAGGTCAGACACTGATGAGGTCAGACACTGGTGTTGGACGAGAGGGCCTGGCTCACAATCTCCGTTCTAGTTCATCCCAAAAGTGTTGGATGGGGTTGAGGTCAGGGCTCTGTGCAGGCCAGTCAAGTTCTTCCACACCAAACTCACCCAGCCACGCCTTTATGGACCTTTCTTTGAGCTTATCAGTGCGACCCATTCTACTGTCAGTGTTTGTCCATCAAGACTGCAAGGCTATGTGCTTAATTTTATCCACTTGTTAGCAATGAGTGTGGCTGAAACACCTGAACTCAATAATTAGGTGGAGTGTCCCAATACTTTTGGCCATATAGTGCATATCTGTCTCTGAGCGTACAACAACTGCTCCAAACAACATGAGCATTGTCCCAGCTTTACCTTGACTGGATAGAGGGCCATAAGGACAGCAAAGCTGCTCAGGTGAGACCAGGTGCACACGGCGTGTGTGGAATTAAACTCTGCCGTCATGCAGCCCTTCTGTGACCACGCCCCTCCATCCCGAGTCTCGTCCCAGTACACACAGCTGTAGTTCAGCTGCTCAGACACCGCCCCGTTCTGAGGAAAGAGAGCAAGAGAACATGAAATAGCAAGAAGTGTGTGGAAAACGTGATTTTCATGGTCAGGTTCTGCATTTACACAATGAAACTAATGTTACTGAATTAGTGGAAGAAAAAAAATATGCTGAAAAAGTTGTTTCAATTTAAATTTCTTTACATTTACTTGGTTCTTTAAATTTATTTTGGCTCCACATGAGTAAAAAATTACTGAGGTTAGTGTAACATATTTCATTTGTGTGGGACCGATGTACATGTTTGGATCCTGTAAATTAACCCCTAACATTCCAGGCTTATTACATACTAAGGCTCATTGTTCAGTAACTACAGGGACTTCAGTGGAAACTGGTTAAGCTATTCTTAGGGTCTTATAGAGGTTTGTACTAAACCTTTGGGCCCACCGGTGCCCAACCTGTTAAGGGGTTAAACAACTTTTACTTTCCAACTTTCTAAGTGAAGATATAGAAAAATATACTTAATGTTCTATACTTTATGTTTAAATATGGCATTATTCTGCTAAATTTTCAGATTGGAAAAAAAATAAAAAAAACACTGAAAAAAGTTGTTGCTTCCATTTACTTGATTTAAATGTGTTCACTAGTTTCATATGAAAAAAAATACATCATGTCAACACAACTAATGCCAAAAATAAACTGAATGGCAGTAAATTTGATGATGTGTTTTATTCTTGTGGTAGCTTTGTTCACATTTAAATCTAACAAATTCAAAGCAACCTTTTGTGGCATAACTTTTTAACAGGCCACATTTTATATTTGTTATTTTGCCCCAATATGTTAAAGTCAGCAAATATACACTACTTGTGCATTAAAATGTGCAGAAATGCATTATCTATAGAGGATGTCTTCATTTGTTTTCACTTATATATGTGCAAAAACAAAACAAAGCTTATATGCACTGCCCATCAAAAGTTTGGGGACACCTACATTTGAATAAATTAGCATGTTATCTGTCTTTATATGTGTGTACATTTAGATTTAGAAGTTTTTTGTCTTCTGAAATGTGAGACAGAAGGTGTAGAAGTGAGTGTTTACCTGCAGGTGTTTGAAGGTGAGTGTTTACCTGCAGGTGTTTGAAGGTGAGTGTTACGGGCTCAGGCAGGTGTTCAGTTTGTGTGTTACTGACAAGCACCGTCACCACTCGAGAGTTGAGCTGGTACGAAGCGTTTCTGCTCTCAGCCTTTGGATCCTCGAGGACAGGGGTGGTGGGGTAGTTCAAGCTTTTATTATAACTGACCAGAGCCACGTAGGCAAAACCTGAGGATAATTACAGGAGCATTGCATTCATCTGAATAACTCTGTGTATTATATGAACAAAGTGTGTGTGTGTGTTTGTGTGTTTATAGTGTGGGAGTGTGTGGGTACCTGGGTACTCTTCCCCAGCTGCTGTTTTCCAGCTGATGTTTAGATGAACACCCTCAGCGTTCATAATCATACTGCCTTTGGGCCGAGTCAGGTCCTTCTTCACCGCCATACACGCCTCTGTGAAAGAATCACCATGACTTATTTAAACCCAATCAAGCTTAATACATTTAGAGTCAGTTATTCATTCAGCCTAATGAGAAACTGTAGAACAGACTCGGTTTATATCACAATACCTACATTTAGAGTAGGTTATTCATTCAGCCTAATGAGAAACTGTAGAACAGACTCGGTTTATATCACAATACCTACATTTAGAGTCAGTTATTCATTCAGCCTAACGAGAAACTGTAGAACAGACTCGGTTTATATCACAATACCTACATTTAGAGTCAGTTATTCATTCAGCCTAACGAGAAACTGTAGAACAGACTCGGTTTATATCACAATACCTACATTTAGAGTCAGTTATTCATTCAACCTAATGAGAAACTGTAGAACAGACTCGGTTTATATCACAATACCTACATTTAGAGTCGGTTATTCATTCAGCCTAATGAGAAACTGTAGAACAGACTCGGTTTATATCACAATACCTACATTTAGAGTCGGTTATTCATTCAGCCTAATGAGAAACTGTAGAACAGACTCAGTTTATATCACAATACCTACATTTAGAGTCAGTTATTCATTCAACTTAATGAGAAACTGAGAACATTTTTCAAACTTGCTTATTGCTTATTTACTTAAGGTGTGAAAATCATAAGAGGCACAGTTTGGATTACCCTATCATGTCACATGCACCTATTATTAGGAGACAGTGTGTACCTGTGTGAATGCATATATGCATGAATGTGTGTGCTGCTATACCTGAGTTGTCGTTGTTCACTTTGGTGAGGGGTTCATTGAGCTGGGGTACGATGAGGCGGAGTGTATCCTCCATTGTCCCCAGAAACGTACTCAGTGTTGAACTGTCACTGACGTTACCGCTGGACACCACCTGACCACCCACATTCATGAGGTGCTACAAAGATCAATCACAGAAACAGTTTTGAGTCACAGTGAAAATGTTTGAAATCACAAATCAAAAGTTTGGAGCCACTGTTGAAAAGTTTGGAATCAGTGTTTAAAGTTTGGGATCACTATTCAGAAAGTCTGGAATCAGTGTTTAAAGTTAGGAAACACTATTCATAAAGTTTGGAATCAATGTTTAAAGTTTGCAATCACTATTCAGAAAGTTTGGAATCAGTTGTTAAAGTTTGGGATCAGTGTTCAAAGTTAGGAATCACTTCAGAAAGTTTGGAATCACTGTTTAAAGTTTGGAATCACTACTCAGAAAGTTTTGGAATCACTGTTCAAATACATTATATCAACACAATTAATGCCAAAAGTAAAAGTAAACTGAACCGCAGTAATTGTGCTGATGTAATGTATTTCATTCATGTGGTAGCTTTGTTCACATTTAAATCAAGCAAATTCAAGGCAACTTTTTTCAGTGTAAAATGTGGCATAACTTTTAAAAAGGCCACATTTTATATTTGTAAACAGATGCGAAGCCGGAACCCAACGACGCTTGTCATTTCAGACACAAGACACGCGTGGCAAGGAGAACCTGACTTGCGGCTGTGACTACATGAAGAGAGGGAGATGCATGTGGGTTAACCTACACAACAGATTTCTATCACTATGTCCAAGAGTGGAAACTACATTTGCTAGTTTGTTCATTAGCCTAGATTGTACATTATAGCAACAATACAGCATTTTTACTGTTTCTGCCTAGAAATTGTTAGCATGCTGCACAGTACGCAACAGAAATAGACCCACGTCTGGTGTGAAATGGGCTTATTTCTTCACCATGCAGACACCAATCTCTTCATAAGGAGTTTGGCTCTTTGCTTTCTTTACCCATGAATGGACTCTGCAGTTATGGACCGATAAAGTGTCCTTTCTTCAAATGAATACATACTGTCATTATTCAGGAACATGCATGTGTGTGTTTGTGTACCTTCAGTAAAGTTTTTCCTGAGTCGTGTTGCTGCTTTTGATGACTCAGTGACTGACAGCTCGACTTAAACAGATTCAATAAGTCACCCATTGCAGCCTGAGAGACAGAGAGGAGAGAGAGAGACAAAGAGAGAGTCATTCCATTTTTGGACTGAATGCTGTTTTTCTGATGTTATGCTAAAGTTTCAGGCTATTTTCTGTACAACTGTGTGTGATTATGAGTTTACCTGTTTGGGTGTGACGTTGGCTCTGTCACACTTCAGCTCTGAGTGAGGTAAAGAAGGAATTCATTAATTTTTCCTTTTTCTTTTTCAAAATGAACATTTACAGTACCAACCAAACATTTGGACACACCTACTCACTGAAGCGTTTTCGTTTTTTACGTATTTATGATTATGAAAAGCTCACACTGAGGTGTGTCCAGAGTTTTGATTGGGACTGTATACAAGCATGTGTTTGTTCTCTTACCTGTGCATTTGGTCTGGTTGTTTCCATAGTTACTGTATCCAGGGTTGCACTTGCAGTGGTAGCTGCCGGCTAAGTTGGAGCAGCTTCCATGTTTTCCACACTTGTATTCCTCACTGTCACATTCATCAATGTCTGAGAGAGGGAGACACTCTGTTATTAGTTTATTTGTTTTTGGTGCATATATTTAATAGTATTTGTGTTTGCGATTCACACATCACATCACATCACAACAGGGAATCACGGTTACAGACTAAACAGCAATTCGATTCAGCTATTCAAGCACCAGTAAGAATTACTGTAAGAAATTAAAAGTACTGACGTAATATAATGAACTAATGTTTCTCAAGTAAAAACTGAATCGGTTTATTACAACAAAGGTGATTTCAAAGGAACATGCTTTCCAAAGAGACACAGGTTGCACTTATAATACAAGGAAGGTGTGTGTGTGTGTGTGTGTGTGTGTGTGTGTGTGTGTGTGTGTGTGCACCAAATAAACATTAACGATGTTTCTGAGAATGATTTTTTTCATAAAACCTTTCCAGTATCTCACAGTAATGACATCACGGTGCCCCCCTCTGCTGCTCTATGTATAAAGGGCTGTTTAGAGGCCTTCAGCTCTCAGTTTAGCCTGTGCATCATGTATTGTTCCAGCTAAAGAGCTTTGTTTGGGTTCCCCTGTTTCATTCTTCACGTCATCTCTACACACTTTAGAAATATGATTCTTCAAGGGTTCTTTAGTAAAGAAAATGGGGTAACACTTTATTTAGATGGTCCACCGTAGACGCTCAGTCTGTGTTTATCTAACACTCAAGTAAATGTCTATTGAATTCAACTGAACTTGAAGTTGCGTGTTAAAGGTTCTATTAAATCTGGTTCTGTTAAATCTGTCCCTAAACCTAAACCTAACCCGAATGTTCTTGATAATCAAATGAGCATCACCAGAAAGTTTGTTAATAAGTATTACTACAGTAGATCATCCAAATAACCAAAAAGCGTTCTTCTACTGTTACAGGATTGACATAGTAACCATGGCAGAACCTTTTGTGTTGCTACATAGAACCCTGTCGCACTGTGTGGACAGAGGACCATCCTACCCACCCAGAGAGCGAGGCCAGCTGTGTTCTCTTGGACTCCCGGCCACGGATGGCTATAGCATCACCAGGGATCAAACTTGTGATCTCCTGATGACAGAGCCAACACTCGGGAGCCCACTCGGCACCACTCGGGAGCCCCCACCACAGAAAGTTGTTAACTACCATCATAAAACATGTTATCCACAGCTGTGTGTGTTTCATAAGGCTTTGTGAAGCTGAATCTTAATCAGGAACCTTGTATACGTTAAACATGCTTGGTCAGACCAACACCAGAGACCCCAGAGACCCCAGAAGCTCCTCTACACTAAACATGATTGGTGATCAGCCTCCCTGTGGGTTTAGTAGTGTTGCTGCCCATAGAGAGTGAAGATGAGTGTGTGTTAAAGTGATGAGGTTATCAAAGCAATGTCAGTGTCCTTCATCTACAATACTACTGGCCCTCACCTTCACATGCGGTACTGCTGTTGCCCTGGTTACGGAAGCCCATGGGGCAAGTGCAGGTGAAACTGCCAGGTGTGTTATTGCATGAGCCATAGGAACCACACACAGGGGGCGCTCTAGCACACTCATCAAGGTCTGCAGTGGAGACACACACACCACACACACACACTTTGCTTAAGAAATGTATATCTTAGTCAGTGATGAGTTAGAAGACGTGTCAGTTTTATTAAAGCTGCAATTAAAGAGAAATTTGCATCTACATTTACATTCAGCTAAGAAACAAACCTCACATGCTATACAAATTCAGTTATAACCCTCAGCCCGTACTGATCAGAGAGTCTGCCAAGTCCCATAAACGTTAATGTAAATGTAATTACTTTAGAAGCCATTACATTTAAGCAGTAGAAGACAAGAGGGAGTGTGTTATCGTGAAATAACATCACGGCTGTGATTTGGTCGCCGTAGATCATCACAGCTGTGATGTTACTGGCGATAACACACTCCTCGAGTGTTCTATTGCTTTAATACAACAGTTAAATAAATACAGTAATAAATTAATAAACTGGGCCGTGAACGCGGCGTTTAATATGTTTTAATGTTCGCAGTTCCTTCACCAAATTATAGTTCCTTAATGAGCAGCTCGTTGCTACGTCAGAGTAACGAGCTCCGCCCACTCGCTGCACAGCCGGCAGTTCATTCTCCAGCTCCTTACACTAAATTCCCAAACTGTCATCACCACTGAGCAGCTTTCCTGTTTTTTCTATTTTGGCAGTTTTATGGCTCAGTCTGATTTGGTCAGACTCTGAAGATCAGACTACACATTTGGTGAATGGTGTTGGGTTCATTTCTGGCTGATTCCAGGTTGTTCAGCTGTTCTTCTGTCACAGCTGCCGACTGAAAAGCTGCTCAGTGGTGATGACAGTTTGGGAATTTAGTGTCGTCTCATCTTCAGAGTCTGACCAAATCGGCTGTCGGTCAAATGTGATCTTAAAAGTGTCCATTTTCTGTTTGTGGCAAAGTAAGAAGTAAAAACGTTCAAATGTCTTGAGCGTCTCCAACAGCTGTCAGAGTCGTTGCTTAGCAACGGTGTCTCAGCGGAGTGATACAGTGTTTGTGAAAAACCTGTGATGTTATGGTGAAATAACAGCACAGTTAGAACGCTTCTCAACCAATCAGCTTGTGTGGCCGGAACTAACTGTTATATAACAAGTAACATTATTCCAATATCCATAACAATAAAACAATCCAATGTCGTAATAGCTAAAAAAAACAATGAACATCTCAACAGTCCAATAGCCACATAAAAACTCTGATACTATCATAAATAACCATGAGCACAATTCAAATTTATCTTATGGTTATGCTATGGTTATGAATCATCATAAGCATAACATGGAAATTACCATAATATGGTTAAATTACACAATTCCAATAGGCATAACAATAAGCATACCATTTGTCCACTAACCACCCAAAAGTTCCAATACTCATTTAACATATGTACCAAACATGTATATGTATATGTATATACCGAAAGCCACAAAAATAATGAACAGTCCAATATTCAGAAATCCATAACATTAATAAATATTCCCTTATTCTAATAACCACAATATCAGTAAGCATTCCAAAATTCAAGTATCCCCAACAGTACTAAAATATGCTAATTTAATTTGCATGACTCAAAACATTTGCGTTTCTGCACTTGTGTGAGGTGTGTTTCTGGCCTGATGGTCACGATGTGAGGGGTCAGTTTCTGTATTTCTATTTGTACTTATGTGCAGGTCAGTTTCTGTATTTCTATTTGGTCAGTTTCTGTATTTTTTCATTAAACATGACTGAATGGTTCAGTGTATCATCACTGCTCCAGACTGAATGACTGATGACTGTGAACCTCAGTGAGATACAACCGGACGCTGCAGAATGAAAGAGTTTGTTAGTGCTGGTCAATTTTAGCAGAAGCACAGAAAGAAAACTTCCTTCCTTCTTTTCTGTGGGTGCCATTCTTCAGCACTGGCCTTATTTAGCTAGAAAAACAAACAGCTAAAACAAAAGGAACTTCCTCATCAAGTCAGGCTGCATTTATACATATGAATGTTCCTTTCAGATTCCTTTGTCTCAGTAAAGACAAATAAACAGCCGTCCACCACATCAAGGCCAACGTACAAAAGATAACAGACCAGTGGTCACCAGCTCTGGTCCTGGAGGTCTATCAACCACAACCTACCAGACCTGCTGTGGCTCATTAAGTTCTTCAGAGGTCCTTGATTACGGAAGTCCGGAGGGGCCATGAGCTGTTGTTTTAATTTTCTGGAAAGATTTCTTGAGAAAACAAGTTACTTATCCTAAGATTTTAACATAACAACTTTGTTATCTTGAGACCACAAGATGATTAACTTACTATCTTGAGATAACAACGTTTGTTGTCTCGAAATAACAAACTAACTCGTTATTTTAAGATAACAATTTTGTTACCTTGAGATCACAAGATAATTAACTCATTATCTCAAGAAAACAACTTCTGTTATCTCGAAATAACAAGATAACTAACTTCTTAGTTCAAGATAACAACTTTTGTCTTCTTGAGATAACAAGATAACTAACTTGTTATCTGAAGATGATAACTGTTATCTTGAGATCACAAGATAATTAACTCATCATCTCAAGAAAACTACTTCTGTTATCTCGAAATAACAAGATAACTAACTTCTTAGTTCAAGATAACAACTTTTGTCTTCTTGAGATAACAAGATAACTAACTTGTTATCTGAAGATGATAACTTTGTTATCTTGAGATCACAAGATAATTAACTCATTATCTCAAGAAAACAACCTTGTTGTCTTAAGATCACAAGATAATAAACTGATCCCAAGACAACAACTTTGTTTTACTGTTTGGTTAGGGAGGGGCAGCATTTTAGACACTGGTGGGAAATAAACTATGCAGGAAAGCAGATCTCCAGGAGGCGGACTGGTGACCAACGATGTGGCCAATCAACTGGATGTACATCATCTTCACTCTTAGCAAAAGGGTTCTATATAGTGCCCAAAAGGGTTCTTTGGCTTGTAACAATAGTGGAACCCTTTTTGAGGTTATGTAGAATCCTTTTCAAAAACGTTCTTTATGGAACCATCTACAGCACATTCTCCATCAATCTGTAGAACCTTTTGACGATGCAAAGAACCTTTAATCATCCAAATGGTTCTTTGAGTGTCCATGGTTATAAATGGAACCATTTCCTTTCCTAAAGAACCCTTGAAGAACCATTTATTTCAAGAGTGTTGCTAACAAACTTAAATTTTGCACACCTCTACGAATGAGAACAGTGAGACCCTCTGGACCCTGAATGGTAGAATATTCTCATGAGTATTTTAATTACAAATGACAGTAAAAGTTAAATAGCTAAAAATCAAACAAACCCAGTTCCTTCCCCTCCACCGCGAATGTAGTCAGTCAGCCTAGACATGTTTGGTGTCTGAAGTCCTCTTCATTTGATTTGCACTGCAGCTATGAGGCTAAAAATGGACACAAGTCCTCGAGCAGGACTATATTTTAAGGCTTATCAAATAAATTATGCTCAGGGTGAAATGCAGCTACTTTAGCGTTGCTAACCGACTGAAAAACCTGCCCTGGATAATACAATTTAAGGTTTCTCAGATTAGTCACGCTAATAGCTGACATTATTCCAGGATGGCCTAAGTAATTATTTGGCTTGGCATTCTTCACTGGCATCCTGTTGTGACTCAGTCTCCTGATCCCCTATAAGGAGCTGGAGAAGGATGAGAACTCAGGCAAATGGCTGATGTGGAGAATCGATAAGACCACCGCTGTTCAGCCATTTAGAGGAAATCCACTTTTAGCAGGCTAACCAGTTTAGCCTTTTTTCCCAGACTCCAAATGTAGGCAATCAGTCAAGACATGTTTAGTGTCTAAACTTTGCTTCATTGGTTTCACAGTGATGGAAGCTAATTAGCATGGTGCTAACTACAACTGTATATCAAAGTGCTATCCATAAGCAAGGAATAAAGTATGTCACATGGCCAAAATGTGTAAGTACTGATGTTTTAATAATTAATGATAATGCAGACCCTGACACTGATAACTAATTAATGAATAATTAATATCTAATTAATAATAATGAATGAATAAATAATAAATAATTGATATTTGGGGTTTAAAGATTAAGCAGCTTGACTGAACTGTAGTAAAAAGTGGTTTTTAACTGTTATGCACTCCTAAAATTGTTTCTTTCACATTCTGAACTCACTGGTAAAACTAACTCACATCGTTTTTGTCACACCTTGTCAATGTAATTCACTTTCATAATTCATTACATAGTTAAGACAACTCTAGGACCTAGAGTGAAGACCTCTCTGGAAAATTGTAATTGCACACAACATAAGGAAGAATGTTTTGTAACGCTGATTGTGCTTTGCACCCCCACGAGCGGATGAGTTTCCCTTTTGTGAGTGTTGAAAGAGAATTCAAAGAGAACTCAGTGTAAACTTGGAGAAGGACGAATCTTCATCAGTACGATGTTGATTTCGAGATCATTTGCGAGCTAAACATTGAGGCTGGAGCTTTTTTTTGAGCCTGTGCGCATGATCTTAATATGTAAATATTAATATGTAAATTATACGATGTGGTGTAAAAAATGCCCGCCAAATCCGCCCCAGTACTGCTGACCTTTAAATGAGTATTTCAGGCTTTACAGGGCGACTTGCAGCGGCGCACACTCACCATATTTTAGTGTGTTCTTTCTCTCTTTCTTTTTACTCTGTAATGATACTTTTGATAGTTTTATGAAGAAATATGACATAGTACTTCTCTATTTGTGTAATGAATTACATTTGTTTTTAGTTTAACATTCTGTGTCTTCAGGTTTAATGTGTTTTTGTTCTGTACACACAATTATGACAAGAAAATAATAAAACTCTCACCTCTACAGGCGGCGGTTTCTGTGGATAGCTTGAAGCCAGGTAAACACTCACACGTGTACGAGCCCATAGAGTTCTTACACGTTGAGTTCTTGGGACAGGGGTTGTTATCTGTACACTCATTTATGTCTGAGGAGTGGAGGACAGGAGAGAGAAGGAGCAGAAGCAGTTTAAATTTATTTTGTTAACACAGTTTTAGGTCTTTACAGGTGCAGAAGAACCAGAATTAACATGCTTACAGATTATTTATAACAGTATCTCGGGTGTTTACAGTCCAGTGTGCTCTAAGAGTGTTAAGAGTGTTCTTAGGTGTCTCACTCTCACCTTTACAGTGGGGATCTGTGGCAGTAAAGTTGGGCTTTGTGGACTGAAATCCTGGCTGACAGGTGCAGTAGTAGCTGCCGTTTGTGTTGTGACAGATTGAATGATCTCCACAGAGATTGGGATTGTCCTCACACTCATTCTCATCTGAAAGAGATGGGGAGGGAGAGAGAGTGAGAGAGAGAGAGAGAGAGAGAGAGAGAGAGAGAGAGAGAAAGAGAGAGAGAGAAAGAGAGAGAGTATGAAGAGATGGGGATAGATAGATAGATAGATAGATAGATAGATACATAGATACATAGATAGATAGATAGATAGATAGATGGATAGATAGATAAGATTAAAGGAAAATTTCCACCTGCAGTGTTTTACTGTTATCATTATTGAGATGTGAGTACACTATATGGCCAAAAGTTTGTGGACACCTCATCCTCATGATTGAGCATTAGTGAGGTCAGGTGCTGATGTTGGATGGTCAGTTCTGGGTCACTCCAACTCATCCCAAAGGTATTGGATGGAGCTCCATCACTCCAGAGGACACAGTTCCACTGCTCCACAGCCCAATGCTGGGGGGCTTTATACCCCTCTAGACCACGCTTCATATTGGGCCTGGTGACCTTAGGATCATGTGCAGCTTCTCCAGAGCATCGTGTTCTATTGGTCAGTGCTTTTCTATGAGATTATACAAGCTGTGTGTGTATGTGAACCCCTGTGTCAGCAGTGGGTGACCTTAGTGAATGAATTCACTAATAAGAAGGGGTGTCCACAAACCTTTGGACAGATAGTAGATGTGGGTGAATAGTGTTCATGAAAAACAGAACAAAAACTGCACAATCTAGAGTTTGTCTTGACTCTAATTTTAGGTTTTAATTTATTTTTTAACGATATCCTAATAAAATGCATTATAAATATGGTGTATCTTGTACTTTCACAGACATATAAACCTCTAATTTTCTATTTGTATTGTAGCATGACGTTGATAACACCAAATATTCAGTCAGATGTGTTACCTTTGCACCCCTTTCCCTCTATCAGGAACCCAGGACCACATGACTTAGCCTTTCCAGTGAGCACAACCAGGAGACCTAAAAAGGGAGGAAAAAAAAAATATCACAGGGTATCAAAGGTCCATCCATATACTGTTCTGTCCATCTGCTATAGCATAATATTGATACTCCATGATACTGCCCTTCTTCTTTTGCAGTATAATTAGCATTTTATCCATAATATAATATCCATATAATAGCTGGGTTCCTGTTCTCATGAGGTTAATTTTTGGTTAATTCTATTTAGTGTGTGTTACAGAAGATATTCAGAACCTGACACTTACTACAGTGTGTCATTTACTAGAAGCCTCAAATATTAAAACAAAACAAAAAACAGTAAAATCAGTAAAAACCAAACAAAAAAAGTACATTTCCTTTCTGTAAGTGTGCGTTTCATCCAGTTAGCATTTACAGCACTGTGTAAAGGTGGCATTTTAGGAGAAGAACACAAAATAAAACTAAAATAAGAGATATCAGATTAACAAGGCAATCTTTTAGATAGATAGATAGATAGATAGATAGATAGATAGATAGATAGATTCACATTCATTGCCATCGCAAGTACAAGGCAATGAAATGCAGTTAGCATCTACCAGAAATTCAAACAGTAGTGAAAAAAATGAAAAAGAACAGAACAGAAGCACTCAGGAAGCATGTAAAGTGTCATTAACTCTAATTTAAACATCATAATATATTTGTAAAATACTGTGATGTTTAATGTTGTCAGTACGGTGCTGCAATAACTGGATATATAATTCTAGGATGTATGATCTGGAACCTGAAACCTGGTGTAGAACCTTTATATTATGAGAAGGTTCTTTAAACTTTAAATAAAGTTCTTCATAATTTCACATCACATTTACAAAAAGTGATTCTTCTACAGCGTCACTGCACAGAGCCAGTTTTGGCACCGTCAGTTTTTAAGAGTGCATTCTCCAATCTATTCATCTGACTGATTCACTTGTAAAACTGCTGCACATGCAGAGTACGTCCAGTAGGGGGCAGACAAATATCAACTACAGCAGGAGTCACCAACTCCTTCTGGAGATCTGCTGTCCTGCAGAGTTTAGTTCAAACCTGCATCTACTGCAAGAAACAGTATCTCAGTAAGTGAAATTATCTTAAATCTAGTCAATATATGTGATATTTCTCATTTATAGATTGCTGAGAGCTTATTATACGATTATTAAACTTATATCTAGACATTTTTATTTGTTTTATTTGATTTAATTAAGTCAAATTAGTCACTATATTATATCGCAGTGAACTGATGTGATGTTTGTTTCAGCCAAATAGGCCTCATGATTAATTATAAACATATAATTATGAAAACGAAATGTTAGATCTTGTTATTCTATGAGATTAAATGTATTGTTCTTTAAGAACTGAGTTTAAGGTTGTACTTAGAGCACAGAGGCTGACGCTACACGTACAGCATCCACTGCTAATCTTGAACTACTAATCACACTTTCTGCTCCAGCACTGTATCTTACGAAACATGAACCGAAGTGGAACTGTGGGAACCAAGAGAGAGGAGCGTTATTCTGCAGCTACTGAACACTGGGACAAAGTTAAGGCCCCTCAAGACCCACCCTCTGGCTCCTGCTGCACAACCCAATTTAGCCATGCAGTTGGAGTTTCACTGCCTATTTTGCTCTAATCCACCAATCCTTGTACTTCTATTCACTGGCCACTTTATTAGAAACCCCTGCCTTGTGCTTCCACTCACTGACCACTTTATTAGAAACCCCTGCCTTGTGCTTCCACTCACTGGCCACTTTATTAGAAACCCCTACGTTGTGCTTCTACTCACTGGCCACTTTATTAGAAACACCCACCTTGTACTTCCACCAATTGGCCACTATATTAGAAACACCTACCATGTGCTTCCACTCACTGGCCACTTTATTAGAAACACCTACCTTGTACTTCCACCAATTGGCCACTATATTAGAAACACCTACCATGTGCTTCCACTCACTGTCCACTTTATTAGAAACACCTACGTTGTGCTTCCACTCACTGGCCACTTTATTAGAAACACCCACCTTGTACTTCCACCAATTGGCCACTATATTAGAAACACCTACCATGTGCTTCCACTCACTGTCCACTTTATTAGAAACACCTACGTTGTGCTTCTACTCACTGGCCACTTTATTAGAAACACCTACCTTGTGCTTCCACTCACTGTCCAGTTTATTAGAAACACCCACCTTGTAGTTCTGCTTACTGGCCACTTTATTAGAAACACTTAGCCTGTGCTTCCACTCACTGGCCACTTTATTAGAAACACCTGCCCTGGGTTTCCACTCACTGGCCACTTTATTAGAAACACCTACCTTGTCCCTCTCTCTAAATGGACACCAGTGAAGTGTATTATTGTGTAAGTCAGTATCTCACACTGAGTTGGTGCTCACCCAAAGCCAACGTGTAACAGCCAAACCTTTCCAAACACAGTCAGACTGTAGCTAAACTTTATCTACCTCTTCTATAAACCTCTTCACCACTGCATGTGCACTTTTATCACACCTCACACTTTTCACAGATCACGCTGAAAAACTCGCATATGCAAAGCACTCAGTTTCGTGTTCACACTTCTCTCGACACTGGCGCCAAGTTGAAGACCGCAGCAGACTTCCTTCTCTAGACCTTGTTACTCATTACACACTTCTCACTTCAGCACCTCAGCTCACTGACCTCTCCTCCAGACTGAGGAGCAGCACAAACAATCACACACTTCAGTTTTAATTCAGTCGTGCCGAGAGATAAAATGATTACAGCTGAGACTGTGAGCTGCGATGTTAACACAATAAAAAAATCACAGTATCTTCAGAACGGGTCATGATATGTTATTTAGGTTTGCATTAATAAAGGTAAGAAAGTCATGCACCTTAAGTGTCCTGAGGACTGTTCCTCTACACTAAAAGACATACTCTTAGAAAAAAGATGGTTCTTCAAGGGTTCCTTAGTAAAGAAAATGGTTCTATCTAGAACCATGAACAGTGTTCTTTGCTTCCTAAAAGGTAAAAGAGTTCCTCAGATTGACTGAAAATGTGCTGTAGATAGTTCTATTTAGAACCTTTTTGAAAAGGGTTCTATATAGTGTTCCACTACAAGCCAAAGAACCCATTTTGGTACTATATAGAGCCCTTTTTGCTAAGAGTGTAGCTTAAACTCTTAAAACAGCTGGTTTTATGTAAAACCATGAACACTCACAGAACCCTTTGCATAATTAAAAGGTTTGTTGCATCATAAAAGGGTTCTTCAGATGGATGGAGAATGTGCTGTAGATGATTCTATACAGAACCTTTTTGAAAAGGGCTCTATATAGCACTACAAAGGGTTCCACTATTGTTACAAGCCAAAAAAAAAACTTTTTTGGCCTTTTTTGCTAAGAGTGGCTTGTGCTCTTAAAAAAGATGGTTCTTCAGGGGTTCTTTAATAAAGAAAATGGTTCTATGGCCTAGGTTCATTAGCACCGTTTGTTTTTTTATGCTGTATTTATGTATTTATTTAATAAAACATTGATATGGCAAAGAAAACCTTAAATGTCACATCTTAACATCCTAAATGTTGCCCATATATCTGATATTTCTCTCTGTGAGATGGTTATCAGAACATTATAAGATTTTTAAAAGTACTTCTAGACATTTTTGCTGGTTTTAAGTCATTTTTATCCCATTTTTATCTTACTACTTGTTTCACACATTATCTCATACTATTCTTACAACAGTCTCATAATGGGAAATATTAAACATATCGATAAGATTTCACTCGCCAGTGTAGTATTTCTGTAGTAGAGTGAGTTACAGGAATAATTACAGAAAAATAGCAGCAAAATAAAGAAAAGTCTACAGTCTGAGATCTATGATCATAAACTCCAGCAGCTGAAGGCAACAAAGAGGCCCCATGCGTGAGTTTCTGGAGCAGACAATGTGAAGGCTGCTGCTAAAAACTGAGCACAGGGTTTAAACAACACAGTTAATTACGGCAGCACATAGCATGCGAGTGTGTGTGAGTGGTCAGACCACAGACAAAACAGGTCAAGCTTTTACTAAGAACTCAAGTTTGAATTGAGTTTGTTGGCATTTCATGGTACCATTCAAACCAAGCCTTTTTTTGCTATTGATATATATATATATATATATATATATATATATGTGTGTGTGTGTGTATGAGAAGATAAAGATACACTATACACACTAACACACTGTAGAATCAATGACCACGGCTGTTAGATCTGTCATGTTTGTAAGATAAATGTCGTACAATGTCATGGACCCAGATTATACGGAGATTCAAAAGGGCACTATTTCAAATGACTCAGATTTGACCTCATTTAACCACATTGTTCCTCCATTACCCTCATAATGACATTTCTACATTAGACAGTCTCCACCTAACTGAACACGTTTGGGAGATTTTGGGCTGTCCCTGTCTACCACCATCATCAAAACAACTGAGGAAATATCTTTTGGAAGAATGGTGGTCTAACTGTCTAGTACAGTTCCAGAGATTGGTAGAATCTATGCTGAGGCACAATAAAGATGTTCTGGTGGCCCAACACCTTACCAAGAGACTTTATGTTGGCTTTTCCTTTGATTTGTCACTGTAGTTGCTGTAGATGTACAGCACGTGTAGTCGCTGCTGTGATTAAGCCTCATATGTTTAAAATGGTTTTATAGACGAAAGCTAAAAACTTTCCTAATTTTAATGAAAGTTAATGCAAATATAACTTATTCTGGTTAATTTTGGAGTTGATCTACTGGTCCGTTTATCTTAAAATGTAGACATACTGTAAAAAGCAGATGGTGTCAAAGTTATACATAAGTTAAATAAGTTATAAATATGTCACTTTGTCTGAAGAAAAATGGTAACTTTACAGAAGAAGAAAAAAACCTACTTTCCTTTTAATGTAAGTCAATGGAACCAGTATTTTTCCAAGCCATTTTGGGCCGTTTCTATTGGTCCATTCATCATGAAATTTACACACAATGTAAACAGCAGATGATGTTTTCAAAAGGAGAAAAATCTAT